GAGGTTTTATTGCAATCCAACGTTTCATTTGTTTTTTGTCCTGATCTACTTATCTTCCTCGTAGTATCCTCTGTTGATGTTTTCCCTCGTGAAAAACATTGCATATATCATTAATGAAACATTTATTACAAAAAACAAGAAACATCACGACCAGATGTATAATTTTTTCAAACGTGATGCTTTTTCTTTTTTCGATCGGATCATTTGGATGAATAATGAAGCTTGCCAAAGATTTAATGTTTCACAGAGGATTTAACGTTGACCGATAAGACTAGAAAAAAAAATACAAAAATCACATCGAAATTTCGTAGAATGAAAATCGTGACCATGTTTTTTTTCCAATAAAATAATTCCGAAGTGAGATATGCCGTGTAAATAGTTTTCCATAGTTAAATTTCGAACAAATCAACCCGTAATTTATTTATTCACATATGTAGCCACCATCACGATTCGATTTCGTCAGGCCCGACAAATTGAAACTTGAAATTTTCTAATTGTTCAATTTCCTCACCAGATATGCTCTGTTGAAGATTTTTGTCTGCAAACTTCAGGGTCATATATCATGCAGGGGGAAGACTGATTTCGTAAATTTTTTCCCACACTGCACAGAGACATTTATTATGGCAAAGGCTCTTTGAAAAAAATTGTAATATTTTGGAGAATTTTTGAATCACACTTTTATCACATAAAAATGGCAGATGACTACATACCACTGGTTTGAAAATTGAGATACCTAGCTGTCACTTCCTATGAGGAGTTTAGTGTTTTGTTATCCACCATGGAAAATGCCACCTAATAGATAATTTACCACAGCGAATTAGATATTTGTAATTTCCACTTTTTTCAACTCATTCTGAATATCTTAGTGCAAGATATTTTGCTCTTGAAAATTTTCAAGGCACGAGTTTCTTGATATAAGTAAAGGCGCACTTCCCAAAAAACTTTGTTTTCTTCAGTGTAATTGTTATTCTACACATTGTTTTTAGTTAAAAAAAAACTTTGTAGTTCAAAAATGAGAGGCCTTGGATGTTTTGGAAGCGTCTGCGGGGCTAGCGAACGATAACAAAATTTTCTTTTGCACTAATTATTCTTTTTCAGACATATGTTTGATTCAAATGCGTCATTTCAGTAGGTTCTGCAAATTAATTAGCCAAATGAACACGCTTAGAGAACTTATCTCTTTGAATTAAAAGAACTCTGTTTGAATCCAATGGCTGGGTGTATTGCAATAGCTCATCAACAAGTTTTATTTTCATTCAAACGTAAACACGATTTTTATTTGAGTTTTTATTCACATCAAAAAAATAGTTTTTCAGTATAAACGAATCTTTCCTTGAGATAAAGGACGACTTCATTGATTAGGAATTAAATAATTGTTCAGAAGACGAAGAGAATGAATTTATTGACATGTAATATTCTTTCATTTGGCTAAGACAAATCGATTACTTCATTGTAATAGAGACATTATTCAGAATAAATGAATTATTTCATATAATTGCCTCTATTGCAAAGAAAGAACTCCATTTCAATAAAATGAATGGGTTTATTCAAATAGTTCGTAAACTACTTTTCATTTAATTTTGAACTCGATTTTCATTCTTTGCATTTCTAGCCACATCAAATGAATAGCTTTGTATTATAAACGAATATTTCCTTAAGATAAATGAAGCCGTCATTGATTAGGAATTAAACGATTGTTCAGAAGACGAAAAGAATGAATTTATTAACATGTAATATTCTTTTATTTGGACAAGACAAATCGATTATTTCATTACAATAGAGTCATATTCAGAATAAATAAATTATTTCATATAATTGGAAACGAAAATATTATTGGAACGAAAAGAAAAATTTCAAATGAAAAGTTCTATTACATAGTTTCATTTGATTCAAACACAATTTCTCTGAGCGCATCAAATAAATTAGCCAAATCAACATGCGCAGAGAAATGATCTGTTTGAATTGAAAGAACTTTATTTCAATCAAATGAATGAGCTTATTGAAATAGTTCGTAAACTACTTTTCATTTAATTTTGAACTCGATTTTCATTCTTCGCATTTCTAGTTACATAAAAAAAATAGTTTTTCATTATCAACGAATGTTTCCTTGAGATAAATGAAGACTTCATTGATTAAGAATTAAATAATTGTTCAGAAGATAAAAAGAACGAATTTATCAACATGTACTATTCTTTCATTTGGACAAGACAAATCGATTATTTCATTACAATAGAGTCATTATTCAGAATAAATAAATTATTTCATATAATTAGAAACGAAAATATTATTGGAATGAGAAGAAAAATTTCAAATGAAGATTTCTATTACATAATTTCATTAGATTCAAACACTGAATTAAAAGAATTTTATTTCAATCAAGTGAATGAGCGTATTCAAATAGTTCGTAAACTACTTTTCATTTAATTTTGAACTCGATTTTCATTCTTCGCGTTTGTATTCACATCAAATAAATAATTTCTCATTATCAACGAATGTTTCCTTGAGATAAATAGTCGACAAATCGATTATTTCATTACAAAATAGAGGCATTATCAAGGACAAATAAATTATTTCATATAATTAAAAACAAAAACATTATTGGAAAGAAAAGGAAAATTTCAAATGAACAGTTTCATTAGATTCAAACACACGATTTCTCTAGGTGCAAATCAATAATCCACTCTAAAATAAATAAACTAACCTCTTGAACGATAAGAGCAGACTTCCCCAATCGCCAATAGTTCCACAAATCTCCCGGTAATAAAAAATTCACCAGACATTTCGTGAAAAAGTTCCTGGCCCCCGATCAGATAGAAATTTCCAATTTCACCCTCACGACGTTGACTAAAATTCTCTCAACGACTTGGTGTGCTTTACCATGAGGAAATATTGTCGCAGCGAGTTACGATAAGGCTTCCATTTTACCTTTTCCACTCGATGAAAATGCAAAACACATATAACACCACATGCTAACTCCGGTGATATTGACGGCTCTCGCTCGGGGCCCCATTTGCGTCGTGCGCAAACAGAACAAAAAAGCGATGTTGTCAGGTTTCCTGCTCATCACGAAGCAGAATTTGCCCTCTACGAGAGCCTTGTCGACTAGAATCACTGGTCGCTGGAGGAAAACGTCGCAGAACATCTTGTCTGGAGTGAAATACTGAATATTTTTATATTCACGAGAAAAATGTTCCCCACTGGATTGAAAATCGCAGGACGTGCTGCTGCAGTCAATCAGCAGTTCATCAGGAGCATTACTCATGGGGCTACTAAACCTCGCAATCACTGTAGCTTTGGTGTAAGTATTCAATCATACGAAATATTTTCATATTCTAGGTTAGGAGTGCTGCAAAGGTGTTGAGTGTTTGTGTAATAATTTTCATGATTTTTCTAACGGAATTTTTGTAATACGATATTTTTCGGGGAAGTTAGTGTTTATGATTGTTAATATTAGGGGATTTGACTTTGGAATTGAGGAGCGGAAACAGACGACAATCGGGGGAATGCGTTTTATGTCAGATAGAGCCAAAAATTGACCCAAGTAACACAGTTCTGGAGGGTATCTGCAAGTATACCAAAAAGGCTGTCTAATGTCTGTCCAAAAAGGTAACTTGTGTCTAGAAGTTACCTAGAAGTTAACTAAAAGTTATCGTATGACTGCAAGATACCTTTTGGACGGACATTAGTCAGCCCTTTTGGTATACTTTGAGATATCTTTCGCTATTTGGGGAGCGCACGAAAAAATTTAATAGACAAACCTGGCAAGTTCGCTAGATAAATTTATTGGATTTCTATTGAATTCTCTGCAATAGAAACATCGGATTCTATTGACTTTTTCTAGACTAAAACTAGAAAAGGACGAGCGCTTCACGTATGGAAAAATTTAATAGAAAATCTAACGAATTTGCTAGACAATTCTGTTGGGTTTCTATTGAATTTTCTATNAAAACTACCCTGGTGGAAAAAACTCCTTAAATCCTATTGGAAGAAAAAAGGGTAATTGGAAATAATAACGTTATTGCCGTTGAACCATTATTTCCGATTCAGGTTAGTAGCGCAATGCTGACACGTATGGAAAAATCCAATAGGAAAACCTAGCGAATTCTCTAGAAAATTCTATTGGGATTCTGGAGAAAATCTATTGGATTTCTATGGGATTTCTAATGGAATTCTATTGGAAAATTCTATTAGTTTTTTGCGCTGATTCTATTGCTTATTTCATACGGAAAAGTCAATAGATTTTGAATTTCTTTCTCCAGAATCCCAATAAAATTTTCTAGCTAATTGGCTAGATTTTCCTATTGGATTTTTCCATACATGTCAGCATTGCGCTACTAACCTGAATCGGAAATAATGGTTCAACGGCAATAACGTTATTATTTCCAATTACCCTTTTTTCTTCCAATAGGATTTAAGGAGTTTTTTCCACCAGGGTAGTTTTTGCACGATTCTATTGAAATTTTAAATAGAAAATATTTGATAGAAGTCAATACAATTCGATTTTTCTATACAACTTTTTGTTGTGTCGAGGTGTTTTTTGCTTCTGAATGGAAGCATTGAAATCGTCCTATTTTTAGATTCTCTAATTTTGCTTGGAAATTATGTAGAATGCTCTGAAACATAAAAAGACGAAGTTTGAACACCCCGTGTGTATGTGCGAGTGTCCACCTGGTGGTCAATTTCTAGAAAATGAAAGAATTGAAGGACTAAAATTATTCCAGAAAATCTAAAATTTTGTCAGATTATAGCATTAATGAAAACTAACTCTGTGCTCAATTTCAGCCCAATTGATTCAGCCGTTTACGAGGAATCACCATTTGTTTCTAAATCGTTTTTCGCAAATATCTCAAAAACTACTCAACCGATTCCAATTTTTTTTCAAAATATTCGTCCCAATGTCTTCTATCTCAAACAATCTTGCGGGTATGCATATTTATGCATACCCGTTCATACAAAGTTTCCGAAATATTTTCTTTTTTTTTTCTTTCGCTCAAAATTCTTGTTAGTACTCCCCCTTTTCCAAAATTCGACATATCAATTTGAAATTTAGGATGGAGTTTCCTCTTTCCACTAGAATGTTTCATATTGAAAATGGGCTAAATTGGATGGTTAGTTTAGGAAATATTCAAGTTTGTATCTAAATCTATTTTTTTGCATATTTCAAAAACTACTCAACCGATTTCAATTTGTTTCCAAATATTCGTCTTGATGTCTTCTATCTGAATCAATCAAAATATGCATACCCGTTCATACAGTTTCCGAGATATTTCCATTTTTCGGGATTTTTGCTGAAAATCCTTGTTAGCACTCTCACTTTCTAAAAATCAATATATTAACCTGCAATTTAGCATGCAGTTTCCCCGTTGTAACAGAATGTTTCGTATATTGAAAATGAGCTAAATCGGATGGTTAGTTTAGGAGATTTCCAGGTGACAAGATTTATCAACTGGAAGATATTTTAACTGTGACATTTTAGTTCAGGAGGGACGTGGTAAAACGGTACAAGTCAATTTTGACTATTGATCAGTTTTCAATTAATCTCTCGGAGTGTAAGCGACATAGCAAAATTTTTGTTATAACCGTTTTTGTAGAACCGATTGAGAGCTACAACAAATCTAATTACGAAAATTTCGCTATCTCCCTTAGATTCGAAAATATTTCTCAAAAACTTAACTGGGAGATACGTTGACTTAAGCCGTTTTACCACTTCACTATTGAATTAAAATCTGTCAACTGCGACATTGAAACTAAAATTTTTCAACGACGACATTTCAACAATCATTTTTCTGCTTCAACGATTCAAATGTATTTTTGAAAAATATTTACTGCCGTTTTAACAATGTCTTTGACAATATTTTTTCAATTTGTTGGCATATACTCGGATGATAGTCTATATGCTAGGGGTACTTCTGTGTACATTGAGATGTCCATTAGATTTTATTACTGGATTCTATGTTTTCGAGGTCGCTGATTGCGAATATGATGATCGTTTGTGCGAAATCGTGGGCAGTCTCTTTGTTTATATCAATTTAATTGTTTAAAACGGAATATCGCGGAAACGGTTGGCTATAGGGGAAAATGTTTCAAACAAAAAATGTTCCTTATCAAAAAGTGGACATATTTTGTTGCAGAACATTTTCTCATAGCTGTCATGGTTGCAGAGATATCGCGGATGCAAGTCCAGCGAGCGGCACGCTGGCACTATTGCGCGGCGGTAACGCGCTCCGGAGTCTTTTTAAGAAAAATGGTTCGACGGAGAAAAAAATGGTTGAAACAAAACATGTTCATTATAAAAAAATACATCAGATCATTTTTTTGGCTTTTTCAATTATTCCAAGTAATTTTCGAGATATTCAACGTTTTATGGGCGATGACGGAACAAATTTGCATTGCGTTGATCATTAAACCGTGATTATCTCGTTAATTACTAGGAATAGACCAAAATGTCTAATAACTCAAAAGATGAGTCATGAAATTACCAATATCTTTTGTTACAACTTTTTTTCTCTAGCTCCGTCCGTTCAGAAAATATTCCTGGCGCAAATCAGGGTATGAATGCATTGAACGTCCACCTCAACTCCACACGTCGCACAACGGCTTCGCAGTGTTATGTGGCGTTGCCACAGTTTTCTCCGAATTCGTACACAATAGCCTTATCTATGTTTTGATTTTTGAGTTTTGTTTTCATCCTACGGAATTGAAGAACTCACCGTCAGTTTGCATTGAAACTCCTGAGGGTGATGATCGTATTTTCAGAGAGTTTATTTTTTCGCGTGATTTTCTGGCTAGATTGCACGTTGTTTAGCGAACAAATAGCAGAGTAACGAGTTAAACGAATTTCACAGAGAGAGTTATTTGCTGAACGAATGGAGCTAGAGAAAAAAAGTTGAAACAAAAGATATTGATAATTTCATGACTCATCTTTTGAGTTATTAGACATTTTGGTCTATTCCTAGTATTTAACGAGATAATCATGGTTTAATGATCAACGCAATGCGAATTTGTCCCGTCATCGCCCATAAAACGTTGAATATCTCGAAAATTATTTGAAATAATTGAAAAAGTCAAAAAACTGATCTGATGTATTTTTTTGTAATGAACATCTTTTGTTTCAACCATTTTTTTCTCCGTCCAACCATTTTTTTTAAAAAGACTTCGGAGCGCGTTGCCGCCGCGCAATAGTGCCAGCGCGCCGCTCGTTGGACTTGCAACCGCGATATCTCTGCAACCATGACCGCTATGAGAAAATGTTATAAGACAAAATATGTCCACTTTTTGATAAGGAACATTTTTTGTTTGAAACATTTTCCCCTATAGCCAACCGTTTCCGCGATATTCCGTTTTAAACAATTAAATTGTTATAAACATTGTTATAAACGATCATCATATTCGCAATCAGCGACCTCGAAAACATAGAATCCAGTAATAAAATCTAATGGACATCTCAATGTACACAGGAGTACCCCTAGCGTATGGACTATGATAACCGAATGAGCTGAGAAGGTTACAACAGGTGTTTTCGCCATGTGTTGACTCTTATATAGATCTTCCGTATCGCTCGATCAACCGAATCACCAAAATAAATACAGAACGAAAATGGGAAGGGATAATCGTCACGAAGCGACTTGATAGTAATTTAGTCAGATTGAATTTTGTGCACAGTGAACATTAAATAATCGTGATGCCTCTCACATTTACAACTAGCAGCAAAGAAAACAAGTTATTGTGGACTAGCGAACGCTAGATTATATTATGTTATATTAATTTATTTTATTGTTTTCTTTCCAATTTTTCTTTGCGGTTAGATTAGATTAAATTTATTGGATTCTATTCCCATTGTAGTATACAAATTGTGGGAAAAGTTTTTCTTGTTTTCAAATGAAGAGATATTTATGTTAAATAATATCAGTATAATATAATAATTCCTCTCAATGAAATCAGATCATGAAAATGAATTTTTTTGTTTTCAAAATCTGATTTCATTGAGAGGAAATAAGAAAAATGCAGGGAGAGATGATCAGCAAGAAAATAAAAGAAAACGGTTCTTTATTTTTTTGTTAAATTTAAAAACTGATTTTTTTTAGTGACAAAAAAATATCAATATGTTCCCTTTCTATGATCTAATTTCAATGGAAGAAAGTGAAAAAAGAACAGAGATACGTGATCAGCAAGAAAATAAAAATTTTGATTTTTCAATGTCTCCGGAAAGTTTAAAAATTGATATATTTTTTCAAATAATGAAAGAATACCCATCAATTCAATTTATACCCTCACATTTTGATAGAATACATTTAAAAA